CACCCTACATCTAATCAATCAGCAAAACAGCGAAGACTGGTATGAAATATTTACAGAAAAGTGCACATATCATAGGCATATAACACGTTGAATTTTCACAATCGGAACACACCTATAACCGACAACCAGAACAAGAAACAGAGCGGGAGGGAGACACATTTCAAGTCATTAGACATTCCACAGGAAACAACTCTCCCGACTTCTAAAAACATGGTTAATTTTGCCTGTTTTTGTACTTCATATAAATGGTATGATACGGTATGTGCTCTTGTGTATCTGGTTTCTTTTGCTCAAGATTTTGCAGGATTCATTTATATTGTTGCGTGTCATTGTAGATCATTCATTCTAATTGTTTAGTATTTTATTGTGTGAACATTCTACAGTTTATCCGCTCTTCTGTTGATTGGTGTTTGGGTAGCTTCTAGATTTTGCCTACTAGGAACTATGCTGCAATGAATATCCTTGTCTATAGTTTTAGTGAACACATTTCTGTTGGGTACATACATAGCTAGGCGTGGGGTTCCTAAGTTGTAGGGCTAGCATCTGCTTTCCTTTAGTGGATACAGCCAAAGCGTTTCCAAAATACACATACACGGGACGTGTACACGTATTACACGTATGAGAGTTCCAGTCAATCTTCTCCTCATCAACACTTGGCATTTTTTGACCTTTTAATTTTATCCATTTTCCATCAGCAAATTTACAACAGCGCCCTTGTGCTACCACTAGATTTTAGTACAACTTGCTACACTCTTCTAACAAGAACATCCCATTTGGTAGACATTATGCTACCAATCTTCTTGTTACTTTCCTGGACCCAATGGTTCAACCATCCCAGAACAAACTCCAGGTCAATGGAAAGATGGTATAAGAAGAATTCCACTCAACGGTGGGAGGGGGGCTTCCCTGGTGGCGCAGGGGTTGAGAGTCCGCCTGCCGATGCAGGGGACACGGGTTCATGCCCCGGTCTGGGAGGATCCCACATGCCGCGGAGCGGCTGGGCCCGTGAACCATGGCCGCTGAGCCTGCGCGTCCGGAGCCTGCACATCCGGAGCCTGTGCTCCGCAACGGGAGAGGCCACAACAGTGAGAGGCCTGCGTACCGCAAAAACAAACAAACAAACAAACAAAAAACAGTGGGAGGACTCCTGGAACTCTTGCCTTTACAATAATAACAGTTTACTATGCGTCAGGACCAAATACACATTGTTTACTTATTTATTTATTTTTGGCTGCGCTGGGTCTTCGTTGCTGTGTGTGGGCTTTCTCTAGTTGTGGAGAGCGGGGCTACTTTTCGTTGCGGTGTGCAGGCTTCTCATTGCAGTGGCTTCTCCTGCTGCGGAGCATGGGCTGTAGGTGCACGGGCTTCAGTAGTTGTGGTACATGGGCTTAGTTCCTCCGTGGCATGTGGGAGCTTCCTGGGTCAGGGATGGAACCCATGTCTCCCACATTGGCAGGAGGATTCTTAACCACTGAGCCACCAGGAAAGCTCAAAATTCACATTTTTTATTTTATTTTATTTTATTTTATTTTTTGGCTACATTGGGTCTTCGTTGCTGCTCACGGGCTTTCTCTAGTTGAGGCCAACGGGGTCTACTCTTCGTTGCGGTGTGCGGGCTTCTCATTGCGGTGGCTTCTCGTTGCAGAGCACAGGCTCTAGGTGCTCAGGCTTCAGTACATGTGGTGCACAGGCTTAGTTGCTCTGCGGCACATGGGATCTTCCCGGATCAGGGATGAAACCCGCCTCCCCGCATTGGCAGGTGGATTCTTAACCACTGCACCACCAGGGAAGCCCCCAAATACACATTTTTTAAAATAAAACGTTGAATGCTGAGTATTCGGTCACAGGCAAAAATCATCATCATAGAATGAACTTTAGGGAATAAAAGAATAAATCTGAAATTCTATCAAATTCAAAATTTTTTATTACAATTTTACTTTTTAAATTTAGTACCCAATTTCTTCTTAAGTTTGTGTGTATAATCTTGTAGCAAAGTCAGCTACAACTTGCTCTTTTGGCGACTCTACTTTATGATACTAAATGGATGAAGAAGAAACAAGACATATTTGACCAGCTCAGCTGATGGTGACACTTACCCAACTATCAACCTTTCCTTCCTTTGCTAAAAGTAACTGACTAGAGTAGAAGATCTATTGTCTCATCATCTGAGAAACTGGAGGATCTTGTTGATAGTAATGATGGCATATCATTGAAACAAACCCATGAAGTGAAACTTGGTGCACTGCTAGAAAAAGCTACTTTGGGGAATCTTTTCAGGGACCAAAGATCGTTGCTCTCTGCATCTTTTGAAGTGATGTCAATCATCACCAATCCTAGACGCATTCTACTTTTGCAATATCTTCTTTTTTTTTTTTTTTTTTTTGCGGTACGCGGGCCTCTCCCCATTGTGGCCTCTCGCGTTGCGGAGCACAGGCTCCAGACGCGCAGGCTCAGCGGCCATGGCCCACGGGCCCAGCCGCTCCGCGGCACGCGGGATCCTCCCGGACCGGGGCACGAAGCCGTGTCCCCTGCATCGGCAGGCGGACTCTCAATCACTGCGCCACCAGGGAAGCCCCTGCAATATCTTCTTGTTATCACTTGCTGCATAATAAGCCATCCCCAAACTTAGCGGCATAGAACAACTGTTTGTTATACGCACTGATTCTATGGGTCAGGAATTTACACAGGGTAAAGCAATGATGGTTTGTTTTTGCTACGCCATGTCTAGCCCTCAACTGGGATGATGTAAGTGGTTAGGGAGTGACTCAAGTGGTTGAGGGGTAGAATCATCTACAAGTTTCTTTACTCCCATGTGTGGTGCCTGGACTGCGATCACTTGAAGGCTGGGCTGAGCTGGGAATCGTTGACTGGAGCACACACATGTGGCTTCTCCACGTGGCTTGGGCTTCCTCACAGCATGGCAGCCAGAGGCTAGTTGAACTTCTTACTTGGATGCTCAAAGATCCAAGGATGAGATTGTCCCAATGAACAAGGAAGAAGTTGTGGGGCTTCCCTGGTGGCGCAGTGGTTGAGAGTCCGCCTGCCGATGCAGGGGACACGGGTTCGTGCCCCAGTCCGGGAAGATCCCACATGCTGCGGGGTGGCTGGGCCCGTGAGCCATGGCCGCTGAGCCCGCGCATCTGGAGCCTGTGCTCCACAACGGGAGAGGCCACAACAGTGAGAGGCCCGTGTACCGCAAAAAAA